ATTATTATTATATATATATATATATATATATATATTATATATAACTATTAACGCGCATAAAATTACAAGTTGAAAATATTTTATTTCGTACTTTTTTTGGAATATTTTTATAACTAAATATTAAAGATATAAGTTTTTGTGTCACACAGCTGTTCATAGACATATATATCATTGTAACACAAATTAATAGAATTTATTTGAATTTTATATTTGATTGAAAAATATATGATGTCAGAGATAACTTATCTATAACATCTAATATGTTAGAAACTTGAAGAAATTTATATATCACTGATAAAAAATTATATAAAATTGAAACAAAGTCTTACTTTGGAGAATAGCGTGTTAAGGCAGTGAACTTTCTGTCGTTCCTGTACAAAAGCGTAATATTGTGTTACGCCTTTTAAAGTCAACTCTTCCATTAAATTAATCTCATATGGATCTCTCAAGTGTTTCTCCATAAATTGTTTCACAGTCAGAGGAAACGTAGCTGAATAGAGTAAAATCTGACGTTCGTGTGGTAATCTGAAAAAAATAATACAATTAATAAATATATAAAATGAGATAAAATGATGGAGCATAGGTAAATACGAAAAATGATTATTTCCAGTAATTAATAACATCTTATTGCACATGTTATTATTTCTGTGAAAAACATTAATAGCTTAATAATAATGAAAAGCGTGGCAACAATAGAAGTTAAAAAACTATAAAAACTAAAAAAAATAGTGTGATTTCAGTAAATCTTAAGCGAGAGTCAATTAGTTAATTAGTATAATGCATTCGAAAAAATGTTACAACATGTCATCAATTTAACATGGATATGTTTCACATATATTAAGCATTTTAATTATATAAAATCTAGCATTGAATATACAAGTACATAAAATAGCCACATATATAGTTAATCTTAATTGCCTCTCATACAAAAAAATATTGAACTTGAGATTTTTCTGCATAATTCTTCATAATTATCCACCTATCGTAAAAGGAGTGTGTGGTTAAATAAAGATTGTGTGAATTTAAATATCATGTTATTATACAAACCTACCTCGATATTACATGATCCAACATTCCTTTAAAGTCTTGTGACAGCAGCTTGTCTGCTTCATCCAAAACTAGAATTTTACAATGTTCCATATTTGCCACGTTCTTATCCATCAGATCAAGGATCCTTCCTGGCGTTGCGATTATTACTTGTACTGAAAATACAATAAGTTACATATGGATTGTACATCGATAAACCAATATAATGTTCAACTTATTAATAAATTTTTTAGATCTTACCTTTTTGATAAATCCTCATAATGTCATCCCGTAAGTTGGTTCCTCCAGTAGTAACCATAACTTTTATATCCATGTGTTTTGCAAGCTCAATACAAATCTGTGATGTTTGTAGCGCTAACTCTCTTGTAGGTACAATTACCAGTGCTTGAATTACGTCTTTCCTTGGGTCAACCTAAATAGTGGCAATTAATATATGATGTTAACAAATATATGGAATTAAAATAAAATGTTTTTTCCAAGCTAATAGCCTTTTATTGTACCTGTTCCAGCACTGGAATTGAATATGCTCCAGTTTTACCGGTACCATTTTTCGCTCGTGCCAAGATGTCCTTACCAGAAAGTGCAATGGGAATACTAGCTTCTTGAATCGGTGATGGTTTCTCCCATCCCTTCTCAAAAATTCCCATCAATAATTCACGTTTTAGGCAAAATTCTTCGAACTCGTTACCACGTGTGTCGGTAACATCCTATGAAATATAATCCAAAATAAATTTTCATCTTAAAACCCAAATGTTTTCTCAAAAATCACTTTACAAAAAACAATAAACTTAATTTAAAAGATTCATTAAAATTTTTTATTTTTATTTAATATTTAATAATTCAATTTAAAAAATACAGATAATTTGTTTTTTTGTATCATAAGACTCACACTTGTTTTAATTCTTTTATCCTTTGGTGGAATCTTTAATTTAGCTTTCCAACCCACATCATCTATTTTATCTATTTCTGATTTGTTAGACAAACCAGAGTTCAACATGTGATTAGAGTTCATATGTGTTTCAGTCATCATTTTGGAAATGTTATAGTATATTCTCTATTTTTTCCTGTCAAAAAAAGAAAAAAAGACATATTATTTTCTGTTTTATCACATGTACATATATGATATTCTTGAACTATTCTATAATTTCTTTTATGTAATATTCAAAGTCATTTTATTCAAAGTCTTCATGTCACAGCTATAATATGTAAAATATTAACAATTGTATTGAAATTAACTCTATGATCTCTTGAACAGATTCAAAAGTATGCCAAGTTTTTATATTAACGTTTGAATAGAATCCACAAGGAGAACAAGACCAAACAAAATTGACCTACACTGACTACATTGTCTGTAGATATCACGTCGTTATGAATACATTCGAATATGTCGAGTGTTTTTGTGTGTTTGGATATAGAAGGCAACTATGAATATACTCTGTAGAGGAAACAGTTAGCTATGCTACAAAAAATTTGATTTTTCCATCACTTCCAACCTCCAATACATTATTTATAATTAGGTAATAATAACAAAGAATCGTTTCTTTACTTCCTTTTTTAACAATTTCTTGTGATAAATTGTCTTCCACTTAGAAAAATAAAATTAGATGCATAAAATTCGCATAAAGCCAATAAAAAAGAAATTATATCCAAATGAGAAAAAAGGGAAAGAAAAAAAGATTCAGCGCTATTGAAATTTACATTCGAGATGTGTTATTACGTGGAATGTATTCAAAACATCATTCATACAACAGAAAGACAAAGAGAAAGTTCGCGATATCGAGACTTATCTCTTGCGTGACGAAGTTACTGTTCTAGGATATAGAAATCAAGAGGAAACACGAGACGACAAAGGAAAGCATTAATACCCATTTAATCGCGAATAGCCGTAATTATATGCGATGATAGTTGATACACCGCACGGCCGCCATGCGGTCGGGACAGTCAGGGGAATTTCAAACGCGCAACGTTCGAACCGTCGATAAAGGTAGGGATTCGTGTGGCGTGCGATATGCGCGTTAAATATAATACGGAATGTCTCGCTCCGATTCCACGCGACTCCAACCAATGCAGAGTTCTTTTTTTTCCTTCTTTCTTTTTTTTTTTTTTTCTTTCCTATCGGTCAGACCGCTGCGTTTTTCGCTGGGAATGCTAAACCTCAAAGAGAATTATCTGTTAAGAGTCCTCGCGGATTTTTTTCCGCGACGATCACGATCACGATCACGATCACGATCACGATCACGATCACGATCACGATCACGATCACGATCACGATCGCGATCGCGATCGTCGCCGTCGGAGACGCGCGTCGCGACGCACGCGGTGACGCGCCGGGATAGGCAACGTCGCAGGGGTGCGAGAAAATCGCTGCGGGCGCATATGTCGTCTGCGTGCTTACCTCGAAAAGCGGATGGACGTCGATGCCGTGTATATATATATATATATGTATATGTATACGTGTACACGCCTCGAGCACTCGATCGGTGAGAAACAACACGCCAAAATGGCCGTTCTCCAATGTCAATGATTTCGCCGACTTCTCACAGCGCCAGTGACCGCGTCGGGGCACCGTTCCCGTTCGGTACGATGCCGCGCTCCTGCTTCTCTCTCTCTCTCTCTCTCCTCTCTCGCCCTCTCTCACTCTCACTCTCTCTCACACACACACACTCTCTCTGTCCCTCGCGCCTCTCTACCTCTAATTCGTTTCTCTAATTCTTTATGCTTCGGAAAAAAGCGTTCTCGTGTATAACACGCGGTCCCGACTTTCAGTCTTTCGGCCTGTCTCTGCGACTCGTGATTTGCGTTCCGCCTGTAGAATCTCGAAATCCCGACTGATGCACTGCGTCGAATGCGAGCGACGATTATTGCTTGTTCGGTGTACACGATTCGCACCATGAAAGAGTGACGTAATCAAGACGGCAGACTACCACGGCATTCTGCCCCCGCCAGATATCGACTTAAGGCACGATTTTTATGAGCAATCGAGATTTACGAAAACGCAGCTAGCTAATAGATTTATTTTTTTCGGTTGAATTCTGCGTATCTCCTTTTTTCTATCTTCTTCTCTCCACGCTTGGTCGTATATACATGTTTTACGTTTCAATTTCGGAAAGAGTAATGTAACGTGATTATAAAGAACAGACTCGGAAATGTCTCGTGATACGAATCACGTGCCATGTAATTTGAATTGTGCTCGAAGGCTTGGCCAATCCGCGTGCGCCAAGTGTGGAAGAAATGCTTTACTTTGTCGTTATGAATAGAGGTTATATTCCAAAATTTGTTGCTAGTATTGAAAATCTATAATTATACATGTTCAGTATAATTCATTCGCAGTAGATTTCGAAATACAACTGGAACATTATAATTAGAATTCTTCAAGTAAATAAGAATTTATATAAAGACAGAGCAACTTTTAATTTTTCCGCTTAATGACGTATGTACTTAGATTCAATATTTATGATTTATGATTTCTCTCTAAAGAATTGTCCATCATGTTATCAATAATATGCTAAAATAAAAAATTATTTTAATTCAAATCATAAATTACGAAAGAAAATTATAAATATAATTATTTAAAATTATAAAAAAATAATTACAAAATAATTATTAAACGTAAAAATAAATATTAGAGTTATTAAATATTAGAGTTTTTCAAGTTTGAAAATCTGCCATTTTCTGATTAACTATAATACACTTTTCAAACATTTGTCAGTTTAGTTTAATAAATTTTGCAGTTTATTAATAAAAAAATGATTTTAAGTAAATAGTTATTACGTAACTATATATGTATTATTGATTTATTTTAATCCGAAAATAGCGAATATCTATTTTTACTTGAGATTTCGAAATATAGCCGATATTCAAAAAATTCTTATACTTAAAACTGTCTTATCTTAATATTTTAAATATTATCTTAAGATGTTATCAACCAATCGCAGAGCTATTAGCATTTTAAGATATCACTTAGTTTTAAATCTAAGGCCGATATTCATAGTCAGTTCTTATATTTAAGATTCTCTTAAAATATTTCAACCAATAGGATAACTATATGAGCTTACTTAAGACGATCTTAAATATAA